AAGAAGCTACTAGGGGCTCCTTACTAATACGAACAAGAAGCTACTAGGGCACTACGAACAAGAAGCTACTAGGGGCTCCTGGCTTTACTACTACGAACAAGAAGCTAGTAGGGGCTCCCGGCCTTACTACTACGAACGAGAAGCTACTAGAGGCTCCTGGCCTTACTACTACGAACGAGAAGCTACTAGGGGCTCCTGGCCTTACTAACTACTAGGAGCAAGGACGCTGCTAGTCCCAGGACTACAACGCGGGAGGAGTGATATGTTCCGCTGATGTCTCTGTTTCCGAGCAACTCCATGGGCTTCGTCCTGGAACCCACTTGGAAATAGCCGCCCTCAGCCACTAGGATGTACCCAGCACGCAGCTCCAAGCCGTCCTGGAAAGACTGAGGGGTGGCAGAAAAGAATATCATCCTTAGAAACTCCAGGAACAAGAAGCTACTAGGGGCTCCTGGCATCGCTACGAACGGAGCAAAGGACGCTACGAACGGGGCTCCTGGCCTTACTACGAACGGAACGATCGGACGCTACTAGGTGAATAAGAAGTATCGAGGCACGGATCCTGCAAGGCCACTCCTCTTCCAGACGACGTACTAGAAAACAAAACGACTGATATGTATATATATATATATGACTGATATATATATATATATATAACCCCGGTATCCAGTAGAATGGGATCACCCCTGGTAGTCAGTCGGCCTTCAGTCGGCCTTTTCTTTCATGATGGCATCCAACAGACAGATCAGCTGCTGCAAGTCCCGCTCCGCGGCTTCGCACTTCTCGGGTCTCGCATGGTTGGGCACGGGTCGCACGTCGGGTCTGGGCAGTTTGGAGGAGATCCCCGGTCCTTCTCGGTGTCCCACTTCACGGTGCCAAAGACCTTGAGAGTCCTCGGCTGACTCGGGTTTTCGGTCACGAGGCAAAACAGACCCAAGCAGCATGGCTTCGTCTTTTTGATGGTCTGGGAGTGGAGTCGGATCACCAAAACGAACCACAAAAAAGATAGACAACACCAACCACTGTGCCTCCCCCACTGGTCCAACACTCTTCGTGGGGGGACCCAAGCGATGCTCGCGGCACAGCCAGTCATGGACCTCACATGACTGGCTGAAAGAGCCAAAAGCAGGTTTCGACCCGAGTATGAGTTCGACCAATGACTGGTCGGATTGTCCAAGGATCTTTACATCCACCGACTGATCAAGGATCCAGGTATGCCCTGCGGGCACCTCACAATGCCCGTCTAAGCAGTCATTGCTCAAGGAGATATTGCTGAAGAGGTCCTCCTTGGCGCAGGGTGCTTTGCTGGCACCCGTGGTTGCAAAACTTTGCTGTTTGGGACAAGGGGTTCAACGGCAACACCAGTGTCCAAGAAAACCAGTGGCTAGTGTGTGAAGCTTCCCAAATATGGTGCTTTAGCTGCTGGACGGATATGGAAGGTGCCGACACCAAAAAGACCATGGGCAATGCCATATAACCGCTATCAACCGTTGCTTGGCCCCCTCTATCAACTGCTATAACCGCCAAGGTGCTGGAAAGCTTGAAGCTAGACCTGTCCACCAGAACGGAGAACGGCCACGTCTACTTCCCACTGAAACCTTTGGGGTCTCAACCCAACCAACGGCAAGGTGTTTGCAAGGTGATTCAGTGAAGAGTCTGAAACAAAATGATAATGATATTGTTCTAGCTTGTTAAAGCTGATCATTGAAAGAGGACAATCATCTACTTCGCGCCTACTAAGAACAACAGCCACTGTACCATGGCAAGGCCCAGTGGAAACAAACCGCCGCTCTTGATGCTGCGTGCCATCCCAACACCCACCTAATGAAAACATGTCACGGCAGTCTTCCGCTCAGTTTGTGAGGACTTCATGGACTCATGGACTATTCATGGACTGAAGAGTCCAGGAAGCTGACGGTCCTGCTCATTCCATGGAATTCGACCCTCCAAGTCATGATGGCTTTTTGGGGGGGCAATGGTCAACACCTCAGCTTCCCCCCTTACATGGCACGTCTTGTGCGTCCCTCCTGAAGCCAAGACAGGTCCGTTTGAGGACTTCGCAGCTCTCGAGCTGGGTTCGAGGGTGACAGGGAGAGTCTCCCAAATGCGTGTTGAGCCTAAGGATGTGCTCTAGAGGAAATCAGATCCAGGTATGTTTCGGGGACAGTTCGTATCCAGGTGTTGTTGAGCATTCCCTCTTCTTTTCGTGGGGTCGGTGCCCAGATCTCAAATTCTCTCGCAAAGCAAGACTCCTTTTCATTGTTCTTCTTAAACAGGAACACTTCTCAAAGGCCTGGCATATCACAAGCCTTGGCAGGGAAGACGGTGCCTCCCACCACATAGGGCCACAGAAAAGGCTGTCAGCCATTTTCTTAGACCTTCATTAAACCAACCAGAAACGCCAAACGGGCATTTAAACTGGATCCGCCAGGCTGCAACTCACAGGGTTTTATCGGATGTTTTATCATCAAAAAACACAAATATTCGATGATCGTCTATTCGACGCTAGAAGCAGGGAAAACACACATTGAAAACTTCTGCCTGGAGCCCCTCACTCTCACAGCCCAGCTAAGAAAGGGACTATGTAACAGAAACGAGAAAGGACAAAGGTCTAAAATGTCGACTCTTGATCCATCAAACGTGACCCCACGTGGGATGGATGGCAGAGCCAACCCTCGGTTCTGACGGTTTGGGCTTCTCTTCAGAGGGGGGTCTACATTAATGACTAAAGATTTGGTGCATGAAGTTGAGGAAGCGCTTCGCCTCAGCGGATCGAGAACTGGCGTCGTTGGTGGCGTCGTTGGTGGGGCTGCCCCCCGCCTGTTCGAGGCAGAAAGGAACACCAGGCACATGTCTAGTCATGTCTAGTCATGTCTAGTCATGTCTTCAGGTGCAATCTGATGACAACACGAACATGGCCATTGTCTCTCGTCCAATCGGGGCCATCGTCTCTCGTTCGAGCTCTGGGCCATGGCGCGTAGTCGGGTGGAGGCATCGAGGAGACGGCCGTGGAGAGGTCCGACAAGGTCGACTGCTTCCTGCCAAGCCACGGTCGCCCGCATGGCTTTCTAGCACCTGGCACCTGGTGTTTTTCTCACTTCTGGTGTGCAACAGTTCGTTCAGTTCCTGCTATGCTCTCAGCGTATTATGAGGAAGAAGGAAGAAGAAGAAAGACAAGGACGAAGAAGAGGCCATCTCTTCTGAGCTTTCTCCCCTAATTCGCGTGGCTTGCCCGCTCTACCCCTCAAAAATGTCACCATAGCAGTGGGGGTGCCCATCCCAAGCGGAGCCCAAACGCGATGATCCAAAGCAGTTTCTTGTGTTGGCAAGATCACAAAGCATATGCAAGCAAATCTGAAAATATCAGGAACAACCAACATATTAAAGAACTAGAAATGGCTTGTGAAGGTGTTCTTCTGATTCCCAACAATCAAGATCCGCACCTGAAGTTCTTCTTCAAGGAGTACTTGAGAGACTTCAGGGTGGACTCCATTGCTTTGGTGTTGCTGTACTCCTCCAGTGTTATAGTGTCCAAGCTGCTGAAGCAAGCTGGAGAGATGTTCTGAAAGATGGGGCGTACATCACTGAAGAAAAAAGACACACAATGTGCGAGCACCATCCGAGGGGCTTTGTGCGACCAAAACGGGGCACAGTCGAATAGACCTGTCCGTGACGTGTCCTGCAGAATGTCAATGATGCCCATGTAGAGAACCTCTTCACCCGGCGTGCCATCGGCCTCAAGATCCATCGGGCACTTGGACAAAGGAGAAGCAACTCATGCCATGCAAGGTTGGCGCACCACAAGTGTCGCTGAGAATGCAGCAGCAAGAGTCTGGATCCCGCTTTCAAGGGCCTCCAGGCACGACAGTATAAACTCACATTCAGAATTGACCCCGCCACTTGGCCTCAACTCCTAGGACCTAGAAAGTAAAAAAAAGAAAAGACATGCTCGAGTACCATCGCTCTCTTTTCCCAACGAAAAAATCCCAGCCACCCGCCGCAAAATACCTTCGATGTTGGCTGTCTTTCGTGTCGGTCGCTGGGTTTGTTCTCCGTCAACTCCTGGAGAGTCTGAGGCCGTCCTCGTCTGCCCCAAAACCCATGGTGGGATGGATCCATCTCAAAGAAACAAGAAATTCATCCATGCTGACGTGGATGGCAACATGCCCCCCGATGTGGGAGGATTCTGATGTTAGACGAACCCTTCAGACCATGTCCCCTTCTGGTGGACAAAGGCTTCGGCTTCCCATGGTGTTTCTGGTTAAGAAGATGTCCTGAGGGGAGCCTCGGAGTGTGAGAAACCGTGCTCGTTCGATCCAACGCTGCCTGCCCCTTCACCTGGGAAGCTCTCGCCACCCCAAGCCTGGCGGGCGTTTGGGGGTTCACCGCCCTAGGGGAAACTGAACTGGCGCTCTGTTTTGTTCATGAAAATTTGGAGGGCATGTGAGCGCTCCTCTCTATGTAAATACCTAAATTGTCTTGATGCTGAAGAGCCCCGCCCAGGAGGGTTTTGAAGCGATCCAGAATTCTGTTGGTATGCATAGAAAAGCATCCGTGCGTTGGCCAAATCAACCCACAAAAAAAATGCTTCAAGTTGATGGTGCTCATCGTGGACGGTCCAACCCTCCCCGAAAAAAAAAAAAAAAGGGATCGGCCCGCTTTCCCGGCCGGCGACATCCATCTGTACATCTGCACACGAGAAACTCTCGGCCGTCGGACCGTCGGATCGTCCCTGAATGCATGCGATCTAAGCGAACCAGAAATGTGCCAAGAAAGACATGCCATGAAATACCATATATATATATGCTTCTTGTTAGTACTAGTAACAAGTGCCACGCTAGTAGTAACAAGTGCCTTACTAGTAGTAACAAAAGCTATTAGAATTAAAATATAGATTAATTTATATATCATCATATATGATCATTCACCTTGTAGCAAGCATCGTCAGGGTGATCAGCCAACTGTACACCGCTCCGGAAGGCTCCGGGCAAAAAGAAGCTCGGTGTTCTTGACCATGGGTTTTTCTCGGTGCTCATCCAACCACTGAGCCCCAGGGTTTGAGAGTGCTCCACGAAAATTGGTGACGACATCGGCAGGTCATATGATCACAGCCACCATTCTTCTCGATGTATTCACGGCACTTGGGGCATCGTTGAACCCGCACACCCGCCACTTGAAGCTCCTCGGGGGGGCACTCGCCAGCGCTGAGCTCCAAGGGTTTCTCTCCCGAATCCTCCCATTGGTACTCACACAAGAAGCACATCACCGTGTCAAAGCCCAAGTAGCCAATCCCAACGCAGCGGGGGCATTCCACTTGAAGAGCAGCAGGAAAGAGGGGATTGTTTTGTAAGCGCTTGCGGCGTTTTAACTTGCCCAGGAGTTCTTGAAGCCCCGCGCTGGATTGTTGGACAAGCTCCCAAACACAGTCCTTTGCCAAGTGGTCAACCTCACCTGCCACGATGCAGAACTTTCAACATGCAGAACAAATTGTAAGATCAACGGTCCAAGTGGAATTCTTCAGCATTCATTGTTGAATTGGGTACCGAACACTCGGGAATCTCACATTGAATGGTCCTTTTCAAATTCACCCACACAGTGCTTTTCAGGGTTCTTTTTTCAGCCTTGGTCTTTCGGATGACGCCCTAACTGTCCCTCACTATGGTGTGTGTTGGTACAAAAAAAGAGCCAGACCTGCCATAGGAACCTGGCACTGTGGCCACAAACATCGAGGAAGCTTCTTCTCTGCGAAGCATTCCTCCAGCTGTTCCTCCGCCCAGCGCATCCAACATCGCTCGCAGGCCGCGTGAGGGTCCGCCCGGCTAGCACGAAGCAGCACCAGGGAAACCTGTCGCCAGCGCAAAGGTTGGCTTTCACTAGCGGAGAAAGACATGAACAATGTGTGTGTGTGTTACTTAAGCTATCTTAAGTTGTTACTTGTGAAATATATCATCAGCGTCAAAACCGGGTATGTTTATCTAATTGTATGCTTATAACTGCATAACCCATGAGAGTGCATGTCAGCCAGGTGATGTCTTCATACGGGTCTGTTCGAGGTTGAGCAAGCCAAACCAGCGCCTCGTTGCAAACTGGGCAGGTAGGACCGACTGTACCGCGAGGAGCAGCATACCGGGCTACACGCTTCAAGGCCTCGGTAAGGCTTTCACGATGTCGCTGGATACAAAAGAAGCTTGAAGTGGGTTGAGAGCTGAGGAGGGACAATGCATCAGGACCTTTGCATGTGGCCTCATGCAAATGATCTGGAACGAAGGCGAAGTTGTCTTGGAGCCAGTGAAGCTTCTGCTGGAAATCCGAGTCCCAGCATTGCTTGCACGCGACACGTTTTTGGCAGCAGCAATACAGGAGCGCGGTGACCCGGCACTCGCAGGAGGGACAAACAGGGCCTGGAGCTCCTGCGTTCGCTTCGTGCACGCACCAAGGGGAGAATTCAAGTAGGTCGGATTGAACTTGCTCTACGTAGCTCTTTACCTCCGGGATCACTGGGCTGTCCAAATGCTTGAGCACTTCAAAACACCCTTCAGAGCAACCTTCATGCCCACAAGGGACATCCAGTGCGACGTAGGCCTTGCACCATTCCAACTTCGACGGCAAATCTGCTAGCCAGCAGTTTCGACAAGCTCCATGACCACAGGCAGTGTTTACAAGAACTTGGTCTTTCTCCTCCCCACAGCGTGGGCAAACCAAGGCTTCATTGGGCAAGGCCGGCCACTCGACTAGCTGATCAGCCACTTTGTTGGCGGACGAGGCATCGATGGCATCGGCGAGGGCTCGTGCATGCGCAGACACCTTCAGCGGCAAGGCTTGGGGAACTTGTCGGCCACAGGTCTGGCAGGGGCACTCGACTCGCAGCATCCAGCGTTGTCGGCACTTGGGGAGCTCTTTCAGGGTCCAATTCCGCAAGCAAGGTTCACAGGCAGCATGACGACATGCAGACTGAAAGGCACCTGAAAACTTCTCAAAGACCAAAAGCTCTTCCCGGCTTCCACAGCCCACGCAGGCCAGGCCGCCGCCGGTGCCACCCACCGAGTCTTGCTCCATCACGGTTTTAGGACCAGACAAAAAACAAGCCCATGGCTTGCGAAGTGCTGATGTCACATGCACCTTGGGCCCAGAACGCTTGAGGTTTTCGGCGAGGACAGCCTCATGGGTGTGAGGGGGAGAGGCAAAGGACAACCAAAAAACTGGTCAAATCCTCGAAGTGATCTGGATGTTTCATGGCAAGCTGCTGTTCAGCTTGCCAACGAAATTGGTGGACAAATATCGGCCTGCGACCAAAATAAGAGACCCCCCAATCCATGTCGGTCCGGAAGAGACCACCCAATCCATGTCGGCCGGACAGCAAAGAGTAGTCAATGCGCCCATGCTTCTCCAGGAAATCGACATCCTGACATTCCCAAATCCGGCACCGGCACCTGGATCCGTCCCTGTCCCAACCGGGAAAGGATGTCTCGATGGAACGACGCGCGGGGGACCAGTGTTCCCGCCATTTGTCCTAACGGATCTCAAGCTGGCGCCAAACAAGCAGAACTGAGTGTCTGGGTGGTTGGGTTCCCAGGAATCTTCAAATTAATACTGCCCTCATGGTGCTTGGATCTCACACACAGTTGGTGCTGGTGTGGAGTGGAGCGTGCGAGAAGAAGGCGACTGAAGGGCTGGTGAGAAGAAGTTGTCAGAGGTTCTTGAAGCCTCACATCCCCCAAAAGCGCCTCCGCCACCTGTTTCTTGGCCCCCTCCAACCGCCCTATCTGGTCTCTCTTCCGCCCTATCCTCTCTCTTCCGCCCTATCCCGTGCACACAAAAAAGAAGGTGTGGCGGAACCAGGAAGTCGCCTTCTCCAGTTGCACGACCAGCTTCTTTTCGCTCGGCCGCAGCGGCGCGCGTTCCAGGAAGTTGCGGTCCTCCGGATCGGAAGCGCCGCGCGACGGTCGGTACCGCGCGGTCGGTCGAACAGGCAACGGTCAGAGAGTGCGAAGAGAGACAGAGAGAGAGAGTGCGAAGAGCGGTGAACAGGATCCGGCCGGTCGTACTGGTTGGAATTGGGTTTCAATCAGGCACATTAGCACCCCCACGTACGAGAGACCTCCCAGACAACAACCCCCTGGTGGAAAAAGAGAAACAGACCAAGGTCCCCCATCTAATCCACATTGACAAGATTCCTGTTGATTCAAGAAGTCCCACTTCAGTTTTGGATGCTTCCTCACTTTTTTGGTGCGGCCAAGTTCTTCCTTCCCGAAGATGTCCCGGTCCCCACGTGTTCCGACCAAGCAAAAAGGGTCTTCTTTCTCCGTCTCCCCAGGCCGTCGATGAAAAAGCCAAAGACCTCCGAGCTGCGCCGCCCTTCGGCGGCCCTGGACCTCCACGCGCGGGACCCGACCTCGTCTCGGCGCGTCGTCGCGAGCCCGGCCGCACGGACCTCCACAGCGGCCGCACGCGCTCCCCCGGCCGCTTCGCGCGCTACCGAACCGCTCCCGAACCCGCTCCTTCAAGACCTCCACCCCGCTGGCGCGCTGGGCAGCCGAGACATAGCGGTGCGAGCCCAGCACCCCCTCGGAGAGAGCGGCTTTCCGGTGCGAGCGCTGCGAGGGGGATGGATCGGCACCAGGGGAGGGACCTTGGAAGCTTGCTGGGTGGTTGAAAAGGTAAAGAAAGAAAACATAAAAGAACCACATTTGACCACTAGGTTTACATTAAAATGTTGGAGCAGTTCTAGGGGCAACTTGGTACCATTGGGTGCTGGAACTTGAAAGCAACGGGTTGTGATCCCCATTCTTTTCCCTTCCTTCCCTGGGCAAGTCGCTTTGAGGTCATACTTTGCTTCAAACTTCAATCCTCACCAGACGTTGACAAGCAGGGTTGAACTTGCAAAGGCGTATTTTGCAGAACAGCATCTGTAACCTTCCGACGCCAAAGAATACACACCATTTGCACATGCGAAGTGTCACGTGCTTCGACTTCACCTGGCGGGAAGAGATTCTCAAAAACCACCAAGTAGTGAGGCACCCGCTCCTGACAAGCATTTGGATGAACTGTGTAGCTTTGAAGAATCTGGGCAGAATGAGAAAACTGTTGCCAGTAAATTCTCGGAGAACAGAAATGTGCTCTTTTGGGGACTGCTTGGCAAGGATCTTGAGTGCGGCTCTGGGTTGATTCACAGCTCCCGTTCCTGCCTTTGGAAACTGCAGACAGTAGAGGCCCATGAACCGGGGCCTTACCAAAGTCATGTATATTAAAAGTAAGGAAAAGTCAAGTGAAAGGAAGCCAAAATATCTCAGCTTTGCACAGGAAGGAAGCTGAAAAGCCTGCCCGATCCAGCAATTGCATATACATTCACTTTATGCTTAGATGAAGGCCTGATGATAAATCCTGCGTAAGTCCACTGTTCGCAACATTCTTTTCCAGTTTCACGCTACCTTCGTGTGGTTGCTCCCTCGAAAAGAAGTTCCGGTTCATGATTCATAGCCAGCTTTCACCCAGAGGATCGCCCGAGCCGCTCTGCATTTTGCACCATCTCCACCGACCGCTGGACACCCCGCCGCTCATTCAGTGTTTCCGACCGCGCGGCCGGCCGTTTCGACCACGGCCCACGGCGGCTCCCGGCAAAGTCATCTCGTTGGTGGTCACACGGTCCAAACGGCGGCGATTCACGGGGAACATGCGCCAGGACCGTGCCATCATCGAATAGGATGCCCGTCCACTCTAATGCGGACTGCTCAGAGCTTACTCTGCCTCATTGGAAGCAAAGACTCCTGGAAAGCCACAGAGACCTGGAAGGCCCAGTGTTTTGCAAGACGGTGCTGAACGCGTGAGAGGATCAGAATCTGCAAAGGTTAAAGCCCATTCATCTATCTGAATATATGAATCGTAAGATGTCTTAAGATACACTTCCCGAATCCGCCTGCCTTTCTGATTGGATCTGTTTATCGGGACTGACCCTTAGGTCCAAAAGGTGCTCCAACGGGTCTGGCCCTTCTTGCGGAGAGCCTCGTCTTTGTTCATCGGATTGACTTCAGGTTGAACAGAGTCCCACAGAGCTTCGTACCTCAGCATCCAACAGGTCGCGGGCAAAGCCAAGCCCCTTACGTAAGCCTACACACATCGATGAAGAAAGAGAGAGAGAGAGAGAGTGCGCGCGCAGAAGTGGCGGCAAAACCAAAGAAAGAAAGGCCAACCCCTTCACTTCCCAAAACCCCACCAAACCACTTATATCACTGATCACCAGTCACCGGAACGTCCACCAATTCTCATCCTCACCCACACCTTGCCACCCACACACCACACCCGCCAAAAACCCATATTCCACCGGCTCCCCCGGGACCCCGGGGACCCAAAAAGCCGCCGCCCACCCCCCCACCCCACCCCCACCGGGTTCCTCCGTCCTCTGTCGGTTCCAAGCGGCACTCGACCGTCTCGACGGCCCAGGGCCGAGTTCAGGCAGTGGTCGCTGTGGCCCCACGCATCCACCAGGGGCACCGCGTCAGCACGGAGCACCTGGGACCGAGCGGGCATGGTGGGGCTCGGTCCCACACCCCACATCATCATGCCGAGCAGCCGGGAGCAAGTCGCGAACTGCTTGCCGTAAGAGGCCACCCTGCGGCCAGGACTAGGCTGGCTCAGCCAGGAAGGAATTGGAACTGACAAAAGGAAGCAGAAGCACCGAGTGCTGTTTCTTGCTAAATGTGTCATGAGCTCCTCAAGAAGCCAGGAGAGTCTCTATGGTAAACCAACCCATGGCTGAGTTTGGCTGGCGCCGTCTCGGCTCTCCGCCTGCTGCGCCGTCAGGAAACCACTCTGCAGAAAGTCGCCCAAGTTTTCACGCATCCACCACCTTGAAGTGGACAAAAAAGAGAGCGAGCGAGCGAGAGAGAGAGAGAGAGAGAGACCAGTGGCAAAACAGAAGGCAAGGAGAGAAGCAAACATCAGCGATATGTCCACTGCGGCAACTGCTCCCAAGCTGAAATACACTTCACTCTCCAGAGTTTGTTCGGAAGACACGAAGACACTCTCCTGTCAGACTTCGAAGACGTTCGCAGCCTGTTGTTTTTGCGTCCCTTTCTTTGGCCGAGAAGCAAAGCAAACAAATGGCAACAGCTCTCCAAGACCTCAGACAGAAACCGTTTCTTCGAAGGAAACGTGTTTCTTTGAAGCGGAAAAAAAAAAACGCTGCTTCTTTGTTGGGAAGAAACGTCCTTTATGGTCCTATCACATCCTATCACTACCATCTATCACCTCTGCTCCGCAAGTTGAACCCACTTTTTTCAAGTGTCTGTGATCAAGCTGAGAAGGCCTTGTCAGAAGGCCACATGATCGTCACCATGCACTTTCCTATCTGCGATGCAGTAACTGGAAATGATTCCCTCGCAGGAAACACAACGACTTGCATCAATCGCAACAGCATAGGGGGATTGGTGCTGAGCTGGATAAATTAGATGATCCCAAAAACTATCAATCCCAGCTTGTCACAAGCTTGTCCTTATCTCTTTGTGGTGACAAAATGGCCAGACTGTATTTCACACTTCTCGATTGCTGTTTAGGAGCTGGTACCAAGCTCGAGCCTTGCTGCCGTAAAAGCAGAATCGTGCTCCAAAAGCTTCGAACTAAGACCTTGGTAACCAGCCACAAGAAAGAACGCAGCTTGACCCAAACAAAGAGCTCAATCTTGTTTGACAGCTCTTGGCAGCCACCAAAGAACTATAAAGAACTCCTGCTTGTCAAACGTCCATCCATCCCCATCCCACCTCAAGACCATCAAGACTGTGATGATAGCACGAAACTTGGAGAAGAACGGTGGGCTGCCAGTGCCCAAAAAACTGATCACACTGGCTGCGCTCTGGAAGTGCTGTTTGTCAGCTGAAGTTTCACTGTGGTTCCCAAGCAATTCGACCAAACAAAAGCTCCCAAACAAGCAACCCCCTTCCCTTTCAGGGATTGTGCTTTGCACTCGAGACGTCCGTGAAAACCCGCTGGTGCAGCACCCTAAGGCTAGGCCCTATGTCCGGCGGCTACTCCAACCCAACCCAACCCCACCAACAATAAGGGCCCAAAGTGCCTCAAAGTAGCACAACATCCATCCAAATCCACCCGCCCCAAGCAATCCTTCCAATCCAGGTGGCGTAGAAGCAGTGCGCTTCGGAGGCTCGGATCACGTCGGGACAGCACTCGTTCCACGCGTCCACCGGAGCCGCTCCGGCGGCCTCGCGGCCGATCGCTCCGGACGAGTCGGTCGCGATGCCGGCTCCGTTCGCGTCTCGAAATGAAAAAGATACAGTAGCAATAGTTGATTGAAGAATAACAAGCATGGAAAGGCAGGTCCAAAATGATTGAATAGCTTACGTCTTCGTCGACGCTGCCCAAAAACCCACGCGTTGGTCCGCGTCTGATGCGTTCCATGGCGGACATCCCAGGAATTCCATGCGCGACATACCAGGAATACTTCAAAGACTATTTACCAAATAATCCAACCATTCCTTTACGAATTTTGACTGCAACAGCAAGTCAATTCTTTTATACAATGGTCTGGGAAAGCCAGCGGATACAACGGTATACAAAGAAAAGAAAGTGTGCTGCAAGCTCTACTCTGAATTACTCTGCTTTCTCTTCAATCTCTAGTCCTTCACACTCATTCTGCCACGCTAGGTCGGCTGCTGCCACGCTAGGTCGGTAGGTTGTACCTCTAATTCTGATCCATGATCCATACAGCTCGTCCGCCGACCCCTTCCCCCGGCACCTGTGCACGCTGGAGCTGGGCTTGAAGCTCAGATAGAACCCACGCACTTCGTTGGCAGTAGGCTTCCTTGCTGAGTCTCTCTAAACAGCCCAAGAGGTGGCAAACAAAGAATCCCATCCCAAGCGGGCTGAACTGACCGCAAAAGGTTTGGCTCCGTGTCTTGGAGGCACAGTTTCAAGTCGCAACCAAGGTTCGCACTGGATCTCCATTGATAGGAAGTCTTTGGATGTCTCGGCACGACACTGAGCTGACATTGCCGCTGTGGAGTTCAAATAGGCAGAATGGTCACCTGAGAAATGGAAACGGGGGCAGAGGCAAGGTGTCCATCAGAAAAAGAGATTGTGTTCACAGGAAGGAAACGAAGCAGAACCTGAAATTGGAGATACAAGCAAGGCACCTTCCCAAGCATTCTTGAATGTAGCCGAAGCTGAAGACGACAAAAGTTTCAGCAAGCCGCGGGTGGTTTGCTGGGCAATCATGTAATTCTCTCCTTCCACTGTGACATTCTGCAAATATGTACCTAAGGAGCACCCAAGGCCCAACCAAGGCCTGCTGGCATAACCAGCAGGATCTCGAAGTCAAAGCAACATTGACTATCATGAACCCAAAATGGATGTCCGACCCCAAACATGCACCCAACCGTCCACTACTTAGATGGGCGTGGGCACCGCTGGACCGTTTCTCCCATCACCATGGAGGTCCCAACCATCCCGTGGCCGGACTCCACCCAACCCATGGCCTCCACGGACCTGCAGCCAGGCGTCCCAAGAGCTCGGGAAGCCCTGAAGCGGCCAAGTAGCCATGGCCACCGCACGCGCGGCGGCACGTCTCGATGCCATCTGCCGGGGGCCGGCCGAGGCCGGGCGGGGCCGGGCGGGGAGGGCGGCATGGGGAGACGGAGACGGAGACGGAGTGGAACGCTCTCCGCGCGCGGGTTCCGAATCATCTCGACACTCGAACAGCCGGGTTCCGACGCTTTTCGTGGGGTGTGAGACGATCCCCAACGGACACGTGGAGACCAATCGAAAACGGGTGGCAGCAGTCCAATTCCAAAAACCCCTCAACGTCCACGGGGGGGCAGCGGTCCATCTTGCTTCTTCAACTCTGCTTTGTGGCACTCCCCCATTTCGAGACACGTGCCACATTGCCCCACACAAGCAGGAAACTTGCCCAGAAAGCTTGTGAATCTGCCTGGAACTCACGTCCTTGTCTTTCTCTCCCCTGGCCTCCTGCAATGCGGCTGCAAAGCGCCTTCAGTCCGGAGGAGGCCACATGCAGCGTAGCAGCGTCCCCCCTTCAAGATTGCACGCATGGTCGCACCCGCCTAGAGGGGGCCAGACTTCCAATTGGCCCGGCATGCCATAGGGGGGAGCGCACAGGCTTCGGGTGGTTTCCAAAGTGTCATGAGTCATGGAGAAATATCAATGTAATATTGGATGTCCATCATTGGATGACATGTGTCTGATCAATGTATCGAAATAGACCTCCTGTGAAAAAGAATGCTATAGGTCCATGGCACACAATGGAAAGCATATGCAGTCGCTAGCAAAGGCAGCAAGCGCTCTTGCTGCATCGTGTAGTCCAAAATACACATCTCGGAGCCATCGTCTTTACCTTCACTGGCCAAACCAGAGCACAAACTGGGAGGCAGTGATGCTTTGCCCAATCTGACAGTTTCACATGAATAGCACTGCCGCCCTGGCCAGATTCCAATTAACCTTACTTACTGAGAAAAAGACCTCTTGATCCAGCAAAATCCATCTCAGTAGACTCCTGTCAGACGCAAAAAATCAATGGAGAAAAGAAGGTCTTTCGCTGTATAACAGGGGTTGGGCTTGTTCCCATGGTCACTTGTTGGCTCCCGTGGTCGCTCGTGGGGAATATGACATATGAATACCCGCAGCTCCGAATCGCTCAGGACCCTGAGCACCAGCGAGTTCAGGGTGGTCCTTTGCCATGATGCTCGTGAAGCCTTGCCGTCGCACGGCAGAGTAGCGGATGGCAATCGTGCAGGCCATACTCAACGCATAGCCTGCCAAGATCTGCCAAGATCAAGAGTGGGACCAAGCAGGTTGGAGGTGGAGGCCATTCCTGTTAAGTTGAGGGAAGTAGAAAATGAAAACTTCAATCTTCACCAACCCCGTTTCACATCAATCCGTCTGGCCTGGCCAATAAAATAATGGACCTCTTCATCCCTTGGTGAAAGGGTGACCCAGTAAGACTTTCTTCACGGCAGAGTTTTGGCCCGCACAGATCCATCCAAGCGCTGCACATGAGGCGGGAATTAAAGGTACAAGTCGGTACAAGTAGATCCAAGAATGGAACTGACCAAAGCAGCACAAGGCTAGGCCGGCCAAGGTGGTAAAGCATTGCGTTTTAACCAAGTCAATTCGGAGGTGCATGAAGAAAAGGTTGCTTTAGGACATGGTTTCATGTGTCCTGTCATTTTCCTATAGTACCTCTGCTACGCTGTACTCCCCGCCTGTGGTGAGCACAATCTCCACTCGAACGCCAGTCATTGCAGAATAGGAAGCCTGGGCTACCACCACACACCACTCAGAAGGGCCAAAAGGAGAGCTACGTCGCTACGTCTTCCTGCCAACTGCATCTTCCTGGCAGGCCTTTCATCCAGTCTAAGGTTGAAGCTTAAGCTGCTTATGCTCAAGGTAAGGTTTCTCAAACACCCTGTTGCAATTCAAGTCCACATTCCTCAATTCAGTCAACCCAGGAAAGCAAGGAGTCAAATCAAGCCTCCATTCAACCAAGCTGCTATTAACTCCAAATTCATGTTCCTTTCTGTATCCGCCCACCCCTAAACCCTACTGCCAATGACAAAGCGCCTTCCTCAAGATCCTGGAACGTAGCCAGAAAAGCTTTCTTCTCCCCCAGAAGCCCAGAACCCCCCTCCCACCCAACCTTTTCGGCTCCCACGTCCCTCCCACCCCCACGCCGAGCTGCCGTCCGGCGGCCCTCCGTCGCCTCGTAGCGGCCGTCGGGGTGCAGCGTGGTCTGGCGCATGGCCATGTGCGTGCGGGGAATCCGCACGCGCTCGAAGCGGCAGAAGCCGTTGTCCTCCGCGCTTCCGGCCCGCGCGGAACCGCGGCCGGGGAGGACGCCAGGCAGGAGGGTTCCAACCCGAAACCACGCCCCCCCATCGCCAAGGTGTGCCCTCGAAGGGAAGGTTCCTTTGGAAACAGGGCGGAACCTGCGTCGAGAAGATAGGTCCAATTGGTTCAGAAGGTCGACACGCCCCCCCCATGAGAGGTCGAAAGATGGACCTCCGTCCTGGTTGTTATATCCAATCTTGGGTCCAATATCTCCGACCTCAGGGTCTTGCATTTGCCGTGCTCGGCCAAAGGCAGCACACTTGCAAAAGGCTGTGGTCAGAATCCAGCAACAGCATGAACTGCGGTCAAATCGACTGCTTCTCCCGCAAAAACCGCAAACAAAATCTTCCTCCTTGACAGTCTTAAACTACCACGCCTGCACTCCTGGCATGGGCCGATGTGTTTCCAGGTCCCTGATCTGGACCATGAAGTTGTGAATCCCCAAATCTCGCCCTTCGACAATCAAGCGTGCATAGACGATGGCATAGTTTGCCGTCCTAGACGGGTTTGCACGGATGCATCGTCCGCTGTTCAGAGGTTTGGAGTGCCACAGGTTTGGTTGAAACATCGAGGACTGCATGCCACCACACCCAACATGTTCGAACTCGATCATGCGACCATTTTTAATGGATCCGTCCTCCCCATGGCACCTGGCCACCATTTGGTGCCTCAGGTGCAAGTTTGTGGAGCAAACGCTTTACAAAACACTAGCAAACATGACCCGCACTGGCAATTGCCGAGCACTCCAAGGACGCCAAGAGGCTCGTCAATGAGGGGCTGTGAATTTCGATCTCATCCGTCTCCTTTGGTGAAAAGCAAACTGACAAGTTGGTACCCACACTGCACATGCGCACTTTGATCAGCCAAAGCTCTGCAATGAAGGTCGCTGTGGTCTCTAAAGCACGGACATTGCTTCCGTGGCCAAGCTCAGTTTGAGCCTGAGCGAGAAAGAAAACGAAAGAACTTTGGCTTCAAGATGTGAGTTGGCATTACTACTACTAGCAAGAAGCTGCTAGGTGGAGGCCATTGCTATTAGGTTGGAGGCCATTGCGACTAGTAGCAAGAAGCTACTAGGAACAAAGGGCATCGCTACTAGGAGCAAGGACGCTACTAGTAGCTCCTGGCCTTACTCCTAGTGTTACTAGTAACAAGACGATGCTTCAAAAGGTGAGTTGGCACGGCAGCATCCAACTCTGGGCCCCTTGGAGGTGGTCTGACTTCCCCCCCCACACGGCTTCCCCGCCATCTCCCATCGTCGAGTCTCCAAAAATCGCGTGGCGCTGGCGCGGCTTCCCGGGCTTCCCGGCGGTCGCCCCCCCGGCTTTCCCGCTTTTTGGGCCCAAAGGGCGTAGCAGCCAATGATCTCCCAGCGTTCAGCACGCGGGAGCCACTGGGCTTGCTGTTCATTGGTGAATGTTGCTTTGATGTTAGGGATGAACATCAACGACCTCAGATGGTGGACCATGGAGACCGGCGCGTGCCAGGTCTTGGAACCGGTCAAGCAAATGGTCACTTTGCTCACCATGCAAAGGCGAATACAAAAGGAAAAGGAAAAGCAAGTTAGAGGAACGCGAAAATTTAAAGGATAAGGCAAACTGACAAGCAGCCACTGATGCCAAAAGCTCGGAGGTCAAAAAGAAACCAAAAGTAATAGCTAAAATGATATTCATGCATCTAAGACCACAACAACGGCATCCACTGCGTGCACATCCCATCTCCTCCCTCATTCCCCATCATCCCCATTCGACCTCCACCGGCCCGGGCGTCTCGCCGAGCCACTGCAGGTCGGTGCCCAGCATGTCATGCACCGCACCGCGGAGCTCCGCCAGGCTGAAGGACGGAGCTCCGCAACCGCTTCGGCAGAGCTCCAACAAGCGACCTCGCCCGCCGAACCGCTCTTGCGTGGAAAGGCAACATGGGGGCCAATGGGGTTCAATATAGGTGATGGCCTTATTGAAAAAGCATCTTACAAGTGTTTTTCTTGGTCAAGTAAAAAACAACTCTTTGTTTTTCAATGATCCATGATCATGTGGGAATTGAGTTTTGAAGGATATGCGATAAATATTTGATAGTCTTGAGCCCAGGTCCCAATTGTCTCTGAGGGGTCCTCCCGGAATAATCACAGCAAGTCCGTTCAGGGTGTCCTTGTGCGAAATCTAAACGCACTGCATGACCTCATCTGGTTCCTGGTGAGTGCGCTCTCATACAAGCATGCACAAATGTGAATCTATTGACAGAAGCGATCCCGAAAGCACGTTTCCTAAATTTTGGCAAAAGGCCAGTTTGCGGCAGTTGACAGTTGTCGTTTCCTGTCCATAACTAAATGTTTGCCCAGCAACGTTGCTTCTGCATAGCCCTGCGATGCCGTTCAGGTCGGCTGAGATTGTACCTTGAAGTCAGCAGTGCTGCAGTGCATGTTGCAAAATCAGATGGTTTCTCGCAATGTCCATCAACCCGTACCCGGCCGGCACCATAAACACGGAAGCGAAAGGTGAAAGGACCATCCCAACAGAAGCCTTTTCAAGTGGTTTTCACCTTGCTGCCGAGGCACAAGTCGGAGTTCGAAAAAATGGGATCCTCAGAACGCGAGCCATCTTCTTTCTCCTAATACTTATCCAGGACGACAGTTGGCTGGGGGGCTTTGGTAGAAGTTGGATGGGCTTTGCAACCGTGCAAGCTCTTGAATCTTGCGGAGGACAAAAAAAAATGTGGAATCAGGGTGGTCGAGTCGCAACGAATCATCAGTTTCTCACAAAAAAAAAAACATCAAAAATATCCGAATGTCAAGAACAAAATGGCGCCTTTCTGGGATTTGTATACCTACTGATATCAATTTTCTGAGTCACTTACCCAAGACTGGTCGGTGCGCCACAGAAAACCAAGAGATCCAGAGCAAGCAAAAGGTCAAGAGGTAGCCCCAGGTTTGCAACCATGGCTCGGATTCCACCAAGGCCTCAACATCTTCTCGTCTCTTGGTTCGCTCCTGGCCGCCATCGAGAAAGAACGTCATCTCTCGGATGTCCTTATGTCAGCCGCAGCGAGAACGCGTGAGCCGCACTCAGTGCCGGGGGGTCCGCGCCTTCGTTCGCGAACGAAACCACGAACAGTCGTTCGCTGAGGGCACGACAAAGGAAGCGCGAGCGCGCTCTTCTTCCAAGAATGAAGCCATCTGTCCCGAGGTCTCGAGGCCAATTTGGGAATTGGACTCCCAATGCGAACGAACGCTAACACATCCTAACACATGGAATGCATCGGGCTGTCTAGATGTATTGTTCTTTAGCGCTGAATGTGTCTAGAATATTTATGAATATTGATGATGTTTATGTTCTTGCTTTTCTTCCTGCCATGCTGCGAGCCAAAAACTGCTATCTGCGATCCTGCGATCCTGTTGGCCCTGACGTGCGATCGCAGCTCAGCTCGAATCTTCCAGCACACATGTTCTCGCCTCTCATGTGGCTGTGGTAGTTTGCCAAGTGATCGGCAAAGAAGGTCACCTCATTGTGGCGAAACACTGAAGAAACCACAATCCCTGGGGAGAAAACATGGTCCTGAGGGGTGTTCAGGGCAACTGCTTAGACTCTAGACTCTAGATAACCCATTGAACATTAGTTTCATGACAGCTTTTGGAGCAAAAGCAACCTCCTTCTGCATCACCGTTTTGGCCAAGTACTTCTTGTCCCAACCTCAGCAAAATTCCACAACATGTGGCCAGCAGATTGGACAATAAAAGAAAACACTCAAACAAAAGGCTCCTGTGTATTCTATCGAGAATCTTTGCAAATGGTAAATATATATATATATATGCTACTCCCCCCAAAAAAGTCCACATTTTTTCGGCTTGCACTGGTATTTGCAGTGGTTTGATGATATTTTGGCATTCATTTTTTGGGGGTATATTTTGAGGGTTTTTTTGTCTGGTCTGTTGAGTTGCATGTCACCATATTGTGCATTGGGCGATAGGAATCTTGAGATAAGTTGTTCATTTGGGAACTAGCAGCCAGAGTTTTGCAAAAGTTTGGTATTTGGATTTAACCTTATGATTTTGGAGGTGCCAAGAAGATTCCAGAATGCCTCTTTGTTGAATGTTTCCCAGCAAGCAGAAGGGATCTTGGAGATATAGTTGTTCATGTGGGGCCTAGCATGCCTTGAAGATGGGGGGAAGTTGCAGAAAGTTTTTTTTGTTGAGTGATGCTGTGTGAAGATTTTCCAGCAACCTGGGATATGCATGGCAAGGGCCTTTTTGTTCAGCACAGATGCGGTCACGGCTGGGCAACAATTCCTGACATGTGGTCCTGCACGAGATCCCCGGTGCATTTCCACATATCAGACCCACGGTACCAGTACTCGTACTGGGCCGCCCGGATTTTGAAATGCAAACGCTTCAGGCCTGCACGGGAGTGGGTGCCTTTACACACACGCTCCTTGATAAACTTCCAACACCGGTCAATGTGTTGAGTGCCTGCCTTTACTTTAATTTTCTTGCCCTTCGCCAGCCTGGTGGTGTTGAGAGGTCAAGACGAGAATGATGGTACCTGCCCAAGGCGAGCATCATGACAATGATGGCTGGGGTTTTGCCAACCCCAGGCCAGCCAAGAAACATGAATGCAAAGTTGAGCATCAGTGGATATAGTATAGGCAGAAGCGTCTGCGCAAGGAACGGCTTCAAGGAACTCGTCGCCAAAGGAAATTGGTGCTCCAGTGGTGCTCCTGATGATCCTTTGGATTTGTTCTGCGCCATGATGCGAACTTTCGCTTCCGGCCAGCCTGCTATCGGTGGCCTCAAAGGTTCCATCTTCCATGTTCCTGACAATGAGGCTCATGCGACAACCAGGAGGGAGACTGCAGGGAGGCCGAATCTGAGCTGGTAAGTTCTGCACTTGGTTGTCTTTCATTGCGGCTTCTAGTTGGCCGAGAGGAGCGAACTCGGGCACAGAAAGCTGGACATCAAATAGCTCTCCTAGAGAATCTTACTTCTTGCTTCTTACTTCTGAGAAAATTTTAAAATATTCTAAAATTTTCAGGAATTCTCTAAGTACTGGAAAGTTTACGTCCGCCATTTCCGACTAGTGCTGAAATCTTAGGATTTTAGGATTATATATATATATATATGGTACCCCCACAATCCCTGCAAATACCAGTAAAATTTTAAAAATATGGACATTTGGGGGGGGGGGATATATATATATATATATGTATTTATGTCCCATCGTGCCTTTTATACAGAGCCAGAAGTTGCAAGAGTTCGAACAACCCACCTTTGCTGTGGCTCTGGCTTACAAAGAACAGCATGCCGCTCTTTCCCTCTCCCTGCGGAGGAGAGAAGAACGACGTCCATTTCTCTGCAAGGCCACCACCAATAAACACCTTGACTCCTTCCGTAATCCAAGACCTCGACTCCTTCGTTGTGCAACGCGGTACAACATGTCGTGTCGCCGTTCAACGCTCTGCAAATCCACAAAACAGCCGCGCCTGCTGTCCACCTGAAAGGGGGCCATCACACATCGACTGCATGAAGGCGTCTTCAGAGACCTCAGCACTGAGTCTCCTCTCCTCCTCGCCTCTTCCTCCTCTTTAGGCAGGCACGGATCCTCCAAGACTGGAGTCTACGCCCCAAAAACCTCCAAAACGAGTCACACGGATCTCCTGGATGGAACGAACGGTTCCCTGAGCCTCCGGGCACCCCAGGCCTGCTGGCGCAAGTCTCGGAAGACCTGGAGTCGGCCGCGCGGGTGCTGGAAGGAGTTGTTTCAAGGGCTTTAACGGGATGGCTTTCTTGAGCAACCCCCCCTGGTCTTTTGGAAGTGATGTTTTGTTCCGGAAGAGGGAAAGAGCGGAACGAAACTGTTCTTTTCAAGCATAAGCCACAGGAACTCCACACTCCAGTTCCCTCGTTCTTCCAACTCCGGCTGTGTTTACACAGAGGGATGAGACCCAGCAACTCCCCTATGTCCAGGCTCCAGCGCGGCCTCCGGGTAGTATGCCACAAAGGACACTGCTCGATGTCGACCATGCACCAAGCGTTGACTTGTCTGCAAGCGAGACCGAGATTCACAAGAGTGAAACCAAATCCTTGATCAATACGACAGGGCTTCCTAAAAGAGTTTTCGAAATCGGTCTAAAACAAAATTCAAACCGGATAAAATGAGGCCACACGGACAAAAATGCCCACACCGAATTCAAGAAGCGCACCAGTTGTGTAGAGAACATCTCCTCAAAGGCATGCTCTGGCAACCCACCAGACCTGCAGTCGGATGTTACTACTAGCTTCTTGTTACTACTAGTAAGGCACTTGTTACTAGAAGCGATGCACTTGTTCCTAGTAGCTTATTGTTACTACTAGCTTCACAAACATCCAGATCTGTATTGAAAGCAGAGACCCTTTTAAAAGCCTCAGTGAAAAGGAAGAAACCGTTGGTCTTCGGTTTTGGATCTTCCACACTCTGAGAGAGCCTGCGATGGCCCAAGCATTGGACCATCTTCACACAGCGTCCAACAGAGCTCGCCGTCGAACGCTCAGCCTCCCGACACGTCGGGTGAAGCCTGGCGCTGGCACACGCGCCGTAGTCCCTCCTTGGTATGGAAACATCGGTGAAGGAGTCACACCCAAAAAGAAACGAAAACAATGAAGGAAGAAAGGTCTAATGTTGACATCGTATTAACCAACCCCCCCTATTAGTCTACCCAGGGTTCAGGCCCCAATAATAAACCAATTTGAACTACTAATTTCCACAGTCACCACCCTCTAATAAAAATTTTGTTTGGCTGAAACCCCCCCCTATTAGTCAACCCCCTGTCCCCCCAGGAAAAATATAATTACTTCAATATATATATATATGTGTGCGTTTAATTAGTTTTTTCTTTTTCCCTTTTCAATATCTTTTGGTCCATGGTGAAACTGATCCATGGTGAAACTGATCTTCTGATCCACTCTTTTCCCATGCCATCTCTTGAGAGATAGCATTCTGATCCACCCTTCTCACATGCCATTTGGCATTCTTCCAGCTGATGCTCTCATCCATCCTTCTTATCATCCTTCTCATCCTTCTTCTTCTCATCCTTCCCAGCAGCAATCTGTGCAGCCATTGTATACTCATATGGGGTCGTCCTGCCCAACCTCTTCCCCTCCTTCCTCATCCAATAGGCAGTGCATTTCCACACATTGCATTCCATACACCCACTGGAATACCTGCACTTGCCACATACCCCAATCCCATCCAACTCAATCTTGGCTTTGGCTTTCAAATATGCTGATGGGAGCTCATCCACCCTCAAAGCACCACCCTCATTCACCAATTTCCAAGCATCCTCCTGCATCTTATTCAACTTCTTATGCTCTGCCATCATCTTCCCAGCCAATTCTGCAACCTTCTCCCTCTCCAACCTCATCTTCTCCCCATTCTTCTTGTCCTTCTCATCCAGCTTCTTCAAATCCTGAATCCTCTTATTCCTCTCAACTTGCAGCTGCTCACCCAACTTCCTCATCTTGCCGACCCGGTTCTGGGCAGCAACCCATGGCCATCCAATGGCTGCTGGCCCATACCCCATGGCTTCAGCAACTTCCTGCTCCATATAAGCCAATACAAATATACCACATTGATTGGATCCCTTCTTCTGCCTTACCACCCCATTGTTCCTCTCTAGGGATGGCCTATCCAAGAACTTCTCATCAATGATGCCCAAACTCAGCAATGAAGCCAATAGCAACTCAGCACTTTCCTTGGATAAATCTGATGGTATTTCCAATGTCTCATAGTACCTCACCTGCCTATCAAAAGGCACATCCTTCCTGAGATCCAATACCAGCAAGGTCCAATGCCCACCAGCTGGGACGGGGATCAGGAAGACCTTCTCCTTACCTGCAAATAGCCTTTTGGCATGCTCTGATGCCTTCTCCAAGGTGCCACCAAGTCCTTGTTCCCATGCTCATTCTGCTGATGGCTAATGAGGCTGTAGCTCATGGAAGGGTGCATGAACCTCACAGAATCCAACTCATTCATGCTCTTCCCATTGAAGACCACCCTGAGCAAGGCCCATCCCAAAACCAATGTTTGAGTATCAATCCCATCCTCCTTGATACTCTTCTCTGATATGACCTCCACATCACCGTTCTGATCAATATAGTCCAGGTCCAATGTGTATAGCCCAGCCTCATAGAGCATTTGCAGCTTCACATCCCTGGTCATACTCAGCTGAGGCCATCTCCACACCTTCTCATCCCCCCTTACCTTGGTGATCCATTCTTTGTTGACCCATGCCTTTCTGTCACCCTTATTCCTCCAATCCTCCTCCAATACCAAATGGACCTCATCTTCACCAACCCCCAATGCTTCACCCTGCCTCCCATACAGGGTTTGTCCAGCAAGCTCATTGGTGACCCTGATCTTCCCCTCCCATCCATCTGGGGGTGCAAATGCTGGTGGTGGCAATGGGACATTGGCTTCATCCTTGCCTTTCTCATCCTTTTTTTCCTCCAATGGAAGCTTCTTATGCTTCCCATGCTTTGCATCCTCCAATGCATTCTTCTCTAACGCCCTTTCCTTCACCTTATCCCCCAATGCCTTCTTCTTCATCTGCTTCTGATAGTGCTTCTTCACCTTTTTCATGAAGCTAATCTTCTTGTCCTTCTTCTTATTCTGTGACCCCTTTCTGGTAGCTGATGGCACCATTGAACTCAACACCTCATGCCTGCTTCTCTCCTGCAGCTGATCTCTGATGGCTTTCTTCTCTTGATCATCCAATCCCTTGGCAGCATCTCTCATAGCTTTCCTTTTCTTCACTTTCTTATCCTTCTGCTTCCTCTTTTCTTTTGCCTCATCGCTCATCACACTCTCCCTCTGCAGTGCTGCCTTCCTATAGGCCAATGGCAATTGAAATTGGCTGGCCTGCACCCATTCTGGTGTGTTCTCATCAGCAATTCCTGGGATGTCAGCATCTTTGTACCAATCTTGATCTGAATGATACATCCATTCAACCAAATCAGCCAATTCCTTGGTCCCTTGAATCCTTGTCCAATTGGGAGGTGTGATAACCCCATGCTTCTCCACATGTGCCAACCTATTCTTCAACCATCCCTCATGAATCCTGTCACTTCCCAGTGGCATATCCTTTGCCCATGGCTCCTCACCACACCACTTCATGATCCCATCCCTCCCTGGCTATGAGCCTCCTGAGCCCTTTCAGCACCCATTGCCTCTCATTGTTTTTCTGAACCATACCTTCCATACCTTCATGTAGGCAATGGGCAATGTCCTTCATGCTCATCTGATACACCTCACTGGTGCCCATGGCCTTCTGATTCTCTGCCATGATCTTATCAACAGATTTCCTGATCAAGCTCTTAAACACATAGCTGAAATCTGTATCAGTCAATTGCATAATAGCAGCCATCTTGGGAGGAATGATTGCCTGAATCTGATGCGCAGTAAACATAGCCCTCATTGTATCATCTGAAAATGATGCTGCAAAGCAATCCCTCTGATAAATGGATGCTGGATACATCCTGGCCTGCTTTGCAATCACCCAGCTCATGATCACATTGTCCTGATTGGAGCTGGGTTGCGAATAGACATCATAGTGCTCCAATAAATGAGGATGATCCCTTCTGATCTTGACCCATTGCTCCAATGCCCTCCTGGCACTCTCACCCTTCCTATGCACCTTCATCTCCCCCCAAATAGCAAAATGTCTCATCCTCAACCCATCTCCCATTGTCATCAATGTTGTCCAATCTCGCATGTTGCCCAGGTACTATCAGCACACCCTTTCCCACATGTCCAATGGGATCCTCATCAGGATTGAAGAAGTTGCTCACCAGCTGATGTGCCTCAAAAGTAACCCTCATCTTCTCAGTTGCTGAATCCTTCTTGATAGTCAAATGAGCCCTTCCCCCATCCTTTTGATCCTCAGTGGTGACCAATTGCCAATCTTGCTTCTTCTGATCCTCATTGGGCTCCTTATCTTCCAATGCTGCTTGGCTCTCATTGCAGTTCTCACCTTCCAATGCATCATGGTGCTCAGCCTCATCCACCAATTTCTTATCATGGGCTTGCTTGTTGAGCTCATCTTGAAGATCCCTCCTAATCTGTTTGATGGGTTTCCCATGTGTCCTTGTCTCATGGGCTGCAAATACAGCCTTAGTTGATCCCTTTTTCACCCATACAGGAACCTGATCTGAGAATCCAAGCGTGCAGCTCATCTTGTTGGCCTTGACCTCATCAGGCTTTGCCACATAGCGCTTCAGATCTTCATGTCCCATGGACACAAGGCTCATCAGATAGTCATGATGCTGCCATGCCAATTCTGCTCCAATCTGCTGCTCCTCATTGGACAATGGTGCCAATAGATTGGGGGTCATATGCTTGGCACCAATAGCATCCATAATCCTCTTAGCAAATCTTTCTCTTTGCTTGTATCCCTCAGCAATACTCTTGATCTGGGATTCAGCCCTGCCCAACTGATTCACGCATAGAATCCTCTCTGGCCCCTCATCCAGCTCATCCAGCATTTTCTTCTCACCTGATAGCAGCTTATAATACCTCCATGCTAGATCCATCTTCTGAACCCCATGCCCATGACTCCTGTCCATTTCAAGCCAATCCTTCACCTCATCATACAAGTGTGGAAATTGTCTCTTGGCGCCACCTCCTGATGCCCTCAATCTCATGTTGTTCCCACCTGATGCCTTCTTCCCTCTGCTCAACCCACTGGTATCCTTTCTGCTATATACTGATGAGCTTTGCTCATGCTTCAACATCTCTTTTGCCCATTTGGACTTCTCATGATATATGTCCTTCAACTTATCACTTCTCATCTTCAGCTGCTTGCTGAAATGCTTGAACAAATCAAGCTTATCTGGGAATTCTGACCTTGCCCCATCAAGCTTCTTGCAAATCTCATGCTTGGCTGATAGTGGTAACTCCCACTTCCTTGGCTTCTCATGTTTTTCCTCATATTGGACGTGGCTCCCCCATGGATTCCTCTCTTCAAATGCTTTGGCACATAAGGTCTTCCCCCTTTCTTTCCCTCATGCCCTTGATCCTTTCCATGGTGCCCTTGTTTCATTGGTTCATTGGCTGATACCTTCTCTGCAATGTTTGCAACAGAAGTCTCATTCAAACCCACCCCCTCCAATTCACCAGATTGAATCAGCTGCCTGATGGTATCTTTCACTGATTGCCTCTTTCTCATGGCAGGTCCTGCATTGTCCACCACATCCCCATCATCACTCCCAGTGCTAAAGAACCTTTTGATCCCCAATTGCTTCTTCTTTGCTGATGAGTCTGATTCCCCCTTGTTCATAGAAGAAGGTGGGCTCATGGAAGGCGCTGATGAAAATGATGAACTCCTCATAGTCTTAATCTTCTTGGATGCTGGTGTCTTCATGCCCTCATCTTCACTCTTCTCACCACCACCCCTCAGCTGCCTCACACTGCTCATCCAACCTTCTGATTGCTTCCCCTGCAGGCTCATGCTACCAACCATTCTGATTGATTACCACTGCTCTCCCAAAGCAACAGTTTTCCTAGAATTTCCAAAAACTCTCTAGGAAAATTCTTTTATTTTCCCTTATT